AGAGGAAGGCAACACCATCAACCTGGAGGACAAGGTGGAACTATGAAGCCAGGCCCAGCTCCCTCCCAGAGAATCATACTTTCTCCTATCCTAGGTGCCAGGATGAAGGGGTTATCAGCAGGTGCCCTTCCACTTCCAGGAAAGGGGAAAGGCCTTGGGTACTGATGTACATTCCTTTTTAATTCACCTCGTTTTCCCCTCAAAGTTGAGCCTCTGGGCAAGACAGCATGGCTAATTAACCCTGTTAGACCCAGAACATGCTCCCTTTTGCTCCCTTGCCCCCACTCATGGTGCTGGGGATCAATACCTTTGGTATTGGGCTTTATTACCTCTGATCTATATCCCTGACCCTCAAAGAACAGTCTCTAGCTATATGTCTCTGAATGTGCAATAATGGTTCTTTAAGCCCCAAATCTAGACTCTAAGCATCCCTCGGATGAAGATAAGTCAGTCCTCTGTTTGTTGATCTAATACATGCACTCTCTCGGGAGTATCCAAACACACGACTGCACATCCCAGGATGGGAACATTTCATCAGTCATTATCTTGCTAAATGATATAAAAGATACCAAAAAAGGCCTCCCAGACCTAGAGGAATGTATAATAAATGCAGCCAGGCGGTAGTGGTACACATCTTTAATTCCAGTATGAGACCAGCCTGGTCTACATAGTGAGTTCCAGGACAGCAAGGGCTACACAGAGAAACCCCCCGAATCGAAAACCAAAAAAGAAGGAGGAGGAGGAGAAGGAAGGAAAGAAGGAAGGAAGGAAGGAAGGAAGGAAGGAAGGAAGGAAGGAAGGAAGGAAGGAAGGAAGGAAGGAAGGAAGGAACAGACAGACTGGCTGACTCATGGAAAGTTGGGTGTGATAGGGTATACCTGTAATCCCAGCCACGTGGAACATACTGTAAGAAGACCACAAGTTTAAGGCCAGCCTAGGGTACATAGTGAATACCGGGCCAGCTTAGGCTACAAGACTCTACCTCAAAAGACCAGGGAGGAGAGAGAGAGAGATTCAGGGAAGCAAAAAACCCACACAACTCAAACTGGTATGTGTGGGAGGCAGATAGTGGTGAGGGCATTTGGGCTCTAAGGATTCAACCCATACAAACGCTCTCCCAGCAAGCCATATCCTCAACTGTCTTTTCACTTTTTTCCTTAAAATTTAAAACAATGTCTCACAAAGTTGCCCAAGTTAGTCTTGAGTTCACTTTCAGTCCTGCCTCAGCCTCCCAAGCAGCTGGGATTATAAAAACCTGTCCAGCATGCTTAGTTAACTGTGATCACAGAGGATAGGATAAAATCAGACAAGTTTTTTGGGGCGTGTGTGTGTGTGTGTGTGTGTGTGTGTGTGTGTGTGTCTGTCTGTCTGTGTGTGTGTGTGTGTGCGCGTGCGCTGTGACTCCTGCACTGAGCTTTGAAAATGGCTGGAGATAATTAGCTGCAGGGCGTGGAGCAGAGCGTTCCGGGTCCGGATAGGCCATCAGAAAATAAACCGGAGAAAAGGAAGCATCTCAACAGAAATCAGCCAGAATTCATATGTGTGGTGACGGCCCATGGTGACCAAGATAAACTAATTGAGAAATCAGATGAAGATAATCTAAGTCATGACAAGCCAGGCCGGGGAATTCAGCCATGGCAGGTGGGCTATAGTCAGATGGGTTCTGAACAGTGAAATAACTAAGAGCGATCACTGGAACAAAGAGGTAGCCAAGTTCGATGGTGTCTGCTGTAATCTGCCCTTTAGGAGGTGGAGGCAGGAAGATCAAGAGTTCAAGATCATCATTGGCTACATCACAGGTTTGAGGCCCACTTTGGGCTACATGAGACCCTGACTCAAAAAGAAGAGGCTAGAGATATGGATGGGCTGTTAAGAATATTTGCTGCTCTTGCAGAGGATTTGGGTTCAGGACCCAGCATCCACATGGCAGCTCACAACCAACTGTAACTCCAGTTCCAGGGGATCTGACACCTCTCCTGGACACACATACACACGGGCAAAATTCATACTCATTAAATAAATAAGCCTAAGCCATTTTTGTAAAAAAGGGAACTATTCGTGAACGCTGAACCCAGTTTACAACATAGTAAACACACACTCCTAACCCAATACAGTGTTTTGTGATCCTTACGGCGCCGTCACACTATTCATTCCCTTCTTAAAGCTGAAGGGACAGAATGTCATCTCTTGTCGAAAACCAGAGCCTAGAAAAACAAGACCTGCCCGTCACATCCGACACTGGGATGTGAGTTCATCCTTCAGAGTTCCACTTGTAGTTACCTGCCACACAGCTAGCTACTCAACAACAGCATCCCTGACACTGCACTACGGAGCTGTGGCTCACTGTCCGTCACTTGACCAAGGATGGGAACTGGAAGCCTTCCCTCTTTGCACAAAGTGATAAGGGGTGGAGCTGAGGGCCAAGAGTCACAGAGGTACTGTGTGAGGTGCACTCTGCCTTCAGGGGAGGATACAAAGAGGGACCCTCGTCGTGCTTACCTGTCCTCGCCTCACCGGCGTGTAAGTCACTCTTGGTAACACCTACACATGGGGGAAAGACGAGAGAAGCTGGGGGCTTCGTGGTGGGGCTGACGAAGAGGACACCCAGCCCCAAGCCCTCAGATGAAGACGCTGGAGACTGAGAGCAGGAGGAACCAACAGATGTCCCAACAGGGCGACCACTGAGGGTGCAGCGAAGCCATGCATCCCCTCTCGTCCTCGGCCCTCCATGATTCCTACCTGTGGAGGCAGAGGCCACAGGCCTTCGGGACAACGGGTTCCTGCCTCCTCCGCCCGCTCAGCCACCACCTGTGGGTCCAAGGCGCACAACTGGGCGTTGGCCTCTGCGAGGGCCCCGCCCTTTCGGTTCCAGGACTCGGGGGCGCAGACGAACGGAGCGGCCTCCGAATCCCCTCGCGCGCGCGCGCGACTCCTTCCAGGACAAAGTTATAGCAAAGCGCCTTGAGATCCCCTGGCCAAGGCCTTACCAGGAGCCGATCGCCTTACCTCGCAAAGACTCAGGAGCCCCACCAGGGCTACCAGAAGCAACCGGGGCGGAGGTGGAGGAGGAGGAACCATTTCAGCGGGGCCAGCAGTCCCGCCAACCAGCAGCCGCGCCGCTCGCGCGCCCCCGCGGTCCCGCGCCG